GAGGCTGAGTGCAGAGCTGAAATTCTTTGGACACCTTTATGCTTAAGGTAATGAGCTGCATGCCATAGTTCAAGAGTTTTAATACTCAGAGAATGCAGATGGATACTCAGTGTTCAGCAGCACTCATAATTCAATAAGCATGTGGAAAAACCTCTTTGGCACTCCTGACTCACATAAAATTGTGCCTAGTAAGCAGAAGCCTAGTACTTTCTTTGACTTTTCCCTTATCAGGTAAATAATTTGTGTGTTTTTTTTTAATTATTATCAGATATTAACTTACTAGGGGCATAGATTGCTATCATACTTGTCATTCTTCAACCTATTGTTTTTAACTTGTATGCTTACCACGTATGTTTAGAATATTGTTAGAATTTAAACAAGGTTTCATGTGTAAGTTAAGATGACTAAAAATGTAGAACATAAGTTCAAGTCTGCAGCCATTTTTTATGTTGATGATATTGTCCCTTAGCGTTTAGCAATTTCCTTTTTATTCTTATTTCTAGATTATGATGTTTCCTGATTTTCATATTGACCTCTAGGCCCTTATTACTTTAAGTCCATTTGTTTGTTTAGATGCAATAGCTTTGAAAATTTATATTTACTTGATTGTAATTTTATTGCAATACAAGATATTCGTTTTTGATCAATTACCAAGCATCCTTCATGATATTTCTCAGTATTTTCGTTGAAATTCAACACGCTTTCAGCTGATATTTACAATAAAATATCTTAGAACTACTATTATAGGTCTTCTTTTTATTGGTTTCTTACATATATGTCCTGTGTGTTATTTGAAAGAAATTGATTCGGGAACAGAGTTGACAGAGCTAAAAATATGTGATTGAGACTCCATTTCCGTGTCAAAGTACTCAATTTGTTGGAATTGCAAACGTGAGTGGATATATTTGTCTGATTATCAGGGTAATCATTTTTATACTCTAATACCTCCAATTGTTAGCTATTAGACCTTTGTTTTGATCCTACAACTCTTTTGGTAGACATTTGTCTTTGGGTATGCTTATCATATAGTGAAGCCTAATAAATTAGTGTAGCCATATTAACACAAAATTTAGCATGATGATGTGTCATATTGCATGGGTCAGGTTTTTTCTAACATATATAGTTAGTCTCTCCTTTCTTTACTTATATAATGTTGCTCCCTTAGATATAATCGTACAAAATCTTTATTGAGATGTTGCCTGGAAATAAGTTCCTGGAGCATCAATGAGGGATTGAAGTTAAAAGGAACCAGGCCAAGGCAATTTATTACTGGATTCTACTCATTTTCCCAGTACAGGATTTTTTTGAAATTAAAAATTCATTTTATGTTTTCAGAACATAATGACACAGTCACTCTTCTCAATTTCATTCTTTTCTCATGCAATTTAGAAATTGATGTCAAAACATGTTAAGACAGCACATAATTAGGTCATTTCTTTTGAGCCATGATATACTTTTAGTATTTGATACTCAGAGGAAGCTTGCATATTAGTCCCGAAATAGCTTACACTTTGCATTTGTGGTTCTACTCATAAATTTGGGTGCAAAACATTCTAAAATTAAAGCTGAGGTTGAGCATGTCAATAGTAAGTCTCCCCTCTGTGATGCATGTTGAATAGAATCCCAGAAGAGAGACTACTATTGACATGCTCAACCTTAGCACATTGCTTGCACTTCAGAGCATATGGCTTGCTAGGTTAATTGTAGGTTACCTTCCAATTTTTGTATGTCTTGGATTCATAATTATCTTTGTTTGTTTTAAATGATTACTCTCCATGCCAAAGGAGTTTGATTAGGAAAAATTTTTTAATACATGATTAGTTTTTCATCTTTGTATCTACTGTGTTTACGAAAAGGGCCATGATTTCTACCCACGGTAATTTTGTATGGTTTGACATCTTTATATTTTCTGCTCAAAAGCTCAATCCAAAGATGCACGTACTTATCTTATATATGATCTAATATACGCATTTTACAATGTCCTTAACAATAAATCAAGCTTTTATTTCTTTGAACTCCATGTTGTTCATCTTTTATAAAGTGAAATAGAAGTTTGGTTTTTAGATGGCTTATAAAAGGATGTTGGAATAGATCCCAAATTTATTCCTTCTTGTTTTTTTATTGCCATTATCATTATTATAATTTTGTGTAGTGTGATTTTTGGCTGTGACTTTATTCGAAATTTTAACTTCACTTAAGTTAAGTTTTGAAGTTCATATGACTTCTAGTCCTCATTAACATGGACAAATTAAAACTTTTCCAAAATGTTTATATTTTAACATTTTTTTCTTTGAATCGTAGTGAGAGCGAGTTCCCATGCCTCACCAAAAGAGTGCTCCTCATTGTAAAGCTTATTTGTTTCTTTAGTTTTCAGTATGTTTTCGTCATTACTCTTTTGGATGACATGTAACTGTAATTGTTCAATTTTGCATCTTTTGATATATAAAACTATAATGGATTTTTTTTTTTTTTTTAATATGTAAAAAATCTTGAGGCTTAGGTATAACCAAATTTCATTGTTGGAGATATCTCTAGGTGTTGTTTCCAGTGATATTGGACCTCGTGATGGATGTCTACATTGAAGCTCAGTTGTAAAGTTTGTAAGAGAAAAGAGCATTCGACTGGTTTAGGAAAGTATTGGAAATGATGAGGAAGCATCAGCTAAAAGTATATCCAACAAATTCTTTTGAGATGTTGCCTTGGAGGAAGTTCCTATGCATCAATGAGAGATTGAAGTTACACAGGAACCAGGCCAAGGCAATATTGAGACACCTCTACTAAGGAACAAAAGCTAGTTGCAAATCATTTGACCGTATCAACTTTTGCTTTTGGAAGAAGATCCAATTCTTACATCTTTACTAAAATCCTAAGTGAGAATTAACAGGGTTGAATAAGCAACATCAGTAAGATTCTGAATCAAAAAAAAGTACTTGTCAAGTGCGAATGGTTATCCGACCAACGAAGTTTATTGGAACTTCATATCAATCCAGATGGATCCTATGACAGTTGCGCTGAAGATATTGAATTGTTAAGTAACAGGTCGTCCACTACTAATGTAGGCTTAAGCCTTGTCCTGTCTTATACAAAGTTGAGGGCAGAGGAGAAAGGATTCTATTTTGGGATGACAGCCGGAGTGGGGACTGAGAGGCAGCTTTCTGTGATCTCTTTCCTGGGATTTAGAGTTTGTCTTCTGGTCAACAATTTCTATTGCTAGCATGGTGATCTACTTTCTTTCTCAATGAAGTTGGGACTCGAATCTCCAGGAAGTTTAAGTGCTACAGAGCCAGAGGAGAGGTGATATCTTGTGATTTTATAAGGTGCTTCCTTCTTTCTCTGAGTTTAGGGAGGCTAAAAGGGTGTGGCCCTGGAGTCTCTAGGAACATGTTTTGTAAGTCTTTGTTTTCCTGGCTGAGTGATGATACAAATATACCTCTTAGAACTGTGAAGACAAAGTTGAAGGCTAGAGTTCCTTGCAATGCAAAATTCTGTCCCACACCATTGCTCAGAAAGGTTGACACTATGATATGTCAAGACAAATGACCGATGCTAAGTCTAATCCTCAGTGTTCTTTATGGGCAAAATAGAGGCTGAAAGCAAAGACCTCTTCTTACATTGCATTGTTAATTCATTTTTTCTTTCAGCTTTGAATACTTGTGGGTACTCTCAATCTATTTTGCTTTTCCGGTTAAAATACTGATGTCCTTTTTGTGTTGATCTGGAATGAAAGAAACAGAGGACTTGTGGTGCTGTGGGCATGAAGGCTGGTGTTTTGATGTTGTCAAATTTCAGGAGTTAGAAGACAAACTCATTCTAGAGCTAAAAGTGTGAACTCGAAGGATAGGGTGGTGTGATTCTTTTGGGGAGTGGTGAGAGATTTGGGTTGTTTTGATATCATATCATATCAACAAGTCTTTCATTCAATTGGCTGAGTATGAAGTTTTAAGTGCTATAATTGGGAACGGAGTAGTTAGTGTTATTAAGCCTGATAACACCTTGCTTGTCCTAAAAATGGTGGACGTTTCATGCCAAGCTTACAGATTTTGATTTTGGATTGCCAAGAGCGCAGTAGTCTTCTCAGAAACGCTTGTAAAGGTACATGTCACCAGCACTGGACATAAATTGTGGCCAAATATGATCTGTTCAATCACTTTTTTTACACTTGAAAAGTTCCTCTTGGAGTTTTTCGACATAGATGGACAACTGAAGAGTTCTTGGAATACTTTTTTTTTTTTTTTTTATCCAGATCAGTTTACGCGTACTTCAAAATAATCAATCGGCCTTGAAGTTAATGGTCAGATAATACTCTAGTGGCTACCCATTTATTAGTAGTTGGGGAGATTCGAACTCAAGACCTCTTGACTAATACACTCAAAAATTTCAAGCAAACCTCTAAGTTATCAAGATAGTTGAGTTCTTGGAATATTTGTATCTTAGAAATTGAATCTCCTATGATATAAGCTTTCTAGAATTTTGACTAATGAAGATTGTGATTTTATATCTACTGTATCGTCAATAGAAGAATAAATAAAAAGTCAAAATCTGGTTGTTGTCAACAAGAAAAAAATAAATTGTTAAGGTTGTCAAAATCTGTTTCTTGTCAAAAGAAAAAGAAAAAAAAAAAAAAAAAGCGCTTAATTGAAGCAAAATATTTGTCAAATAAATATTGATGTTTGAAATTTTATGATACAGGAAAAATTTGTCAAATAAACAGGATTATCTGAAATATTAGTTTACACAAAAAGTTTATATATAAAAAATTTACATATTAGTATTGATGTTCCTTTCAACACACATCTCTAAGTTTATTATATATAATATATATTATATATATATATACTCTGTTAACGGCTCTCTGTTTCTATTAGCTATTAACGTCCCCCTCGCGCTCTCTTTCTTTCTCACTATTTGCAATTAACGTCTCTCTTGCGCGCTCTTTCTCTCTCTCTCTTTCTCTTTTGCTGAAATCAGTTCTCTCTTACTCTGAGCATTTTGAATTGGCGATGGTGGATCCATTTCGAACACCAAGGTCTTCGAAATTCAGCGGTGACCGGTTCATCCCGAAACGGTCGGCCGTGAACAAGGATTTCGCGCATTATCGTCTCTCTGGAGGCAATACTATCGCCGAAGAAATCAATTCCCACACTTTTGTGTCTCGGATCATGTATCTGGACCGGATATCCGGTGCCCTTTCACTGAACCAAGACAGGATCTTGGCCTTCAACAATCACAGTATGGTCGTTGATTATTCCGTTGCTTATACTAACGGAATCCGCAACGGAATTCCGAGGTCACCGAATAGACAAGGAGAAGTGGAGGACTTGATTGATGACGTGTCGGCTAATTTGGTTGATTGGGGTTTTAATGGGTTGGTGGCGGTCGGATTAGATGATTCTGTGTATTGTTGGAATCCATTTGACGGTTCTTATTCTGAGATATCGCCTGAACTGATCGGTGCCGATAGAGGGCCTGTACGAAGTGTACGGTGGTCGCTGGATGGGACTTGTCTTGCTATTGGATTAAGCGGCGGTGTTCAATTCTGGGACTTGGTAAGATTTAAACTCATTCGTTCTCTTATGAGTCATGAAATCCTTCGTGTTGATTCCCTTGATTGGAAGAATGCTAAAATTCTGACTTGTGGCACAAGTGAGGGTTCAATTGTGGACATTGACGTGAGAGTCAAGTCATCTATTTTGCTTGGTAGACATGAAGTACATAGAGGTGGAGTTTGTAAATTGAAGTGGTGTGATAATGAGAAACAATTGGCAAGCGGTGGGATTGATAAGGTTGTTCATATTTGGGATTGTTCAAAGTCATCAAGTTGGCTGCATAAGTTTGATGAACATAAGGCGGCAGTTAGAGCCATCTGTTGGTGTCCCTCTGAGCACAATGTTCTTGCATCAGGCGGGGGTGTGGATGATCATTGCATTAAATTTTGGGACACGCAGAAGGGGGAGAGGTTAGATTCTGTGGATACGGGGTCTGAAGTTTGTGAACTGATTTGGAGCAAACATGAGCGCGAGGTTTTAAGCTCACATGGGTCTAAAAGTAACCATATGACTCTCTGGAAGTATCCTTTTATGCTTAAGTTAACTGAGCTGCGTGCTCATAGTTCAAGAGTTTTATATATGTCTCAGAGCCCAGATGGATACTCAGTTGCTTCAGCAGCACCTCATGATTCAGTAAGTATATGGAAAAACCTCTTTGGCACTCCTGGCTCACATAAAGTTCCACCTAGAAAGAGGAAGCCAGGTACTTTCTCTGACTTTCCCCTTATCAGGTAAACTATTTTGGTTTTTATTATTAAGCTGTTAGTTTTACAAATCTTATAAGGTTGCATAGATTGCATAGATTGCTATCATATTGGTTTTAACATTTATGCTTATCCATGTTTCCTTAGAATAGTGTTAGAATAAAAACAAGGCTTCATGTGTAATGTAGAGATGACTCAAAGGGTAGAGCATAGGTTAAAGTCTGCATCCATTTTTTTTATGTTGATTATATTTCTCTCAGCTGTTTAATAATTTTCATTTTTATTATTGTTTTCAGATTTATGATGTTTCTAGATTTTAATATTGACCTCTAGGCCTTATTACTTTAAAGTCCATTTGTTTATTTAGATTGCAATAACTTTTGAAAATTTATTCTTAGTTTAATGTTAATGTTATTTGTAATACTAGATATTCGTTTTTGATCAATTACCAAGTATTATTCATGATGTTCCTATGTATTATCATGAAAATTCAGGTCACTTTCAGCTGATATTTACTATAAATATCTAGAGGTATGGTTCGAAAAATATTAATCATGCTTACCTACCATTATAGGTCTTCTTTTCACTGGTTTCTTTGCATATATGTCATCTGTTGTTGTTTGAGAGAAATTGATGCTGGAATTAGAGTTTGATAGAGCTGAAAGTATATGTGATCTTGGGACTTCATTTCCATGACAGTTACTTATTTTATTGGTTTTGCAAAGGTGAGCATTCATATGTATTTGTCAGATTGTGTATTATAGCTGATCTTTTTAATACTCTATTACTTCCAATTGTTAGCTATTAATCTTTTGTTTCGATCCTTCAACTCTTTTGTTAGACATTTATCTTTGGGTATTGTTGGAGGGTAAAAACATGCAGAATGAGAGCTCGACACGTGTCCTCCAAAGTGGGCCATCATGTAGAAGAAGAAACTTCTAAGGGAAGGAAACAAGCCACCTCTCCCAAAGATAGGTGTCCACTTGCATGAAGAAGACTTCACCAATAAGAATGCAAGTTGATTCCCTTTCCACGTGTCTGCTCGGATGAGGATTACTTCATCCACCAGGTTAACAATGCGGCGCCACACGTCCAATTGCATGTGAATTACTTCACACCCAAGATTATCTCCAGAACATTATAAATAAGGAGATTCTCACCCCACACCAGGGATATATCATCTTTTTATTACAAAAGCAAATTCTATTTGTAAACACATTAATAAAATAACAGTGGACGTAGGAATTGGTTATTGCTTCCGAACCACTTTAAAAATCGTTCTTGTCTATTTTCCATTTTCTTTTACTTATTTATTGCTTTATATTTCATTTGCTCCACCCATAAACCTCACCGAACCCATTGGTTCAGCATCATACTTGCCATTTCACGGTCTTTTGTAGACTCTTTGCGCGAACCTCCTAAAGGCTTGCATACATCTCGTTAGTGTGAAAAACTGCATCAACCAGTATACTTATCATAAAATGGAACCAAATATATCAGTGTAGCCATCATTAACGCAGAATTTTAGCAAAATGATGACGTTATACAAATGTATCCAGTATTTTCTAACATATATAGTTAGGTTCTCCTTTCTTTACTTATATAATGTTGTTCCCATAGAGTTCTTTATGTTATATACATTGTTAATACAAAATTGTAGCATGATGATGATGTTTATATTGCATGGATTTGGTGTTTGTCCTCTGGTAAATGCTTTCCTATTTCTCGCATGGTGGTCCACTGTCTTCTTAATGAAGTTGGGACTTGAAGTCTCCAAGAAGTTTGAATGATATAGAGCCAGAGGTTGTGGTTATATTCCTGNTTATTGCTTCCGAACCACTTTAAAAATCGTTCTTGTCTATTTTCCATTTTCTTTTACTTATTTATTGCTTTATATTTCATTTGCTCCACCCATAAACCTCACAGAACCCATTGGTTCAGCATCATACTTGCCATTTCACGGTCTTTTGTAGACTCTTTGCGCGAACCTCCTAAAGGCTTGCATACATCTCGTTAGTGTGAAAAACTGCATCAACCAGTATACTTATCATAAAATGGAACCAAATATATCAGTGTAGCCATCATTAACGCAGAATTTTAGCAAAATGATGACGTTATACAAATGTATCCAGTATTTTCTAACATATATAGTTAGGTTCTCCTTTCTTTACTTATATAATGTTGTTCCCATAGAGTTCTTTATGTTATATACATTGTTAATACAAAATTGTAGCATGATGATGATGTTTATATTGCATGGATTTGGTGTTTGTCTTCTGGTAAATGCTTTCCTATTTCTCGCATGGTGGTCCACTGTCTTCTTAATGAAGTTGGGACTTGAAGTCTCCAAGAAGTTTGAATGATATAGAGCCAGAGGTTGTGGTTATATTCCTGTGATATTGTAAGGTGCTTCTTTCCTTCTATAAGTTTAGGGAGGACAAAAGGGTGTGGACTCTGGAATCTTTAGGAACATCTTTTATCAAGTCTTTTTTTTCCTGGCTGAGTGATGATACAAATATACTTCTCTTTAAGCTGTCAAGATAGAGTTGGAAGGCTAGAGTTCCTTGCAATGTGAAAATTCTATCATAGACCATTGCACAAGGGAAGGTTAAAAAGAGGCTGAAAGAAGGCTGCAGATGTCCTTTTTGTGGTTGATCGGGAATGAGGCAAATAGATCTACAGGAATTTGATTATGCTAGTGGGGAAGAAGTCTGGGTGCTGTGGTATTGTCATATTTTAGGCTTCTCTTTGGGTTTCTGTTTCTCTGGAGTACAAAGAAATTCGTTTTTTCTTCATCAACCACAACTTGGAAGCTGCATTGTCCTAGTTGCTGTTTTGGTTACTCATTTGGCACACATGAGGAGGTTCTTTTTCTTTGTTTGGGATCCTCCAGGCTCTTTATCAAAATCTCAAAATAACTTAAGTTGATGCTGCCCAAGCGAAGCATCAAAGCAGGATTAAATAATCATCCATTTGAAATTCTTATTCAAGTCTATATCCCATATAATATTGTGAAAAGGCAAGTGATGGTCTATTTTCAGCTGCAGACTGTGGTTCGAGATTGCAATGTTGGAAAATGTAACTTTAGTTGTCAAAAACAGACAGCTAGAGGATAGGCATATACTGTCAGGAGTCAGAAGACAAATTCTTCTTTTAGAGCTTTCCAACGGCAGGCTGAGTGCAGAGCTGAAATTCTTTGGACTTACCCTTTTATGCTTAAGGTTAATGAGCTGCATGCTCATAGTTCAAGAGTTTTAATATATCAGAGAATGCAGATGGATACTCAGTTGCTTCAGCAGCACCTCATAATTCAATAAGCATGTGGAAAAACCTCTTTGGCACTCCTGACTCACATAAAAATTCTGCCTAGTAAGCAGAAGCCTAGTACTTTCTCTGACTTTTCCCTTATCAGGTAAACAATTTTGTGTGTTTTTTTTTAATTATTATCAAGATATTAACTTTACTATGGGTTCCATAGATTACTATCATACTTGTCATTCTTCTAACCTATTGTTTTTAACTTGTATGCTTATCCACGTATCTTTAGAATATTGTTAGAATTTAAACAAGGTTTCATGTGTAATGTTAAGATGACTAAAAAGGTAGAACATAGGTTCAAGTCTGCAGCCATTTTTTATGTTGATGATATTTTCCCTTAGCTGTTTAGTAATTTTCATTTTTATTCTTATTTCTAGATTTATGATGTTTCCTGATTTTCATATTGACCTCTAGGCCCTAATTACTTTAAAGTCCATTTGTTTGTTTAGATTGCAATAGCTTTGAAAATTTATAATTACTTGATTGTTAATGTTATTTGCAATACAAGATATTCGTTTTTGATCAATTACCAAGCATCCTTCATGATATTTCTCAGTATTTTCATTGAAATTCAACACACTTTCAGCTGATATTTACTATAAAATATCTAGAGTTATGGTTCAAAAAATATTAGTCATGCTTAACTACTATTATAGGTCTTCTTTTTATTGGTTTCTTTACATATATGTCATTGTTGTTATTTGAAAGAAATTGATTCGGGATTCAGAGTTTGAGACTCCATTTCCATGACAAGTACTCAATTTTTTGGAATTGCAAATGTGAGTATCCTTATATATTTGTCTGATTATCATAGGTAATCATTTTTATACTCTAATACCTCCAATTGTTAGCTAGTAGACCTTTGTTTTGATCCTACAACTCTTTTGGTAGACATTTTTCTTTGGGTATACTTATCATAGAGTGGAGCCTAATAAATTAGTGTAGCCATCATTAACACAAAATTTTAGCATGATGATGATGTTTATATTGCATGGGTCAGGTATTTTTCTAACATATATAGTTAGTTTCTCCTTTCTTTACTTATATAATGTTGCTCCCTTAGATATAATCGTACAAAATTCTCTCCTTTCTTTACTTATATAATGTTGCTCCCTTAGATATAATCGTACAAAATTCTTTATTGAGATGTTGCCTGGCAATAAGTTCCTAGAGCATCAATGAGGGATTGAAGTTAAAAGGAACCAGGCCAAGGCAATTTATTAACTGGATTCTACTCATTTTCCCAGTACAGGATTTTTTTGAAATTAAAAATTCATTTTATGTTTTTCAGAACTATAATGACACAGTCACTCTTCTCAATTTCAATTTCTTTCTCTCATGCAATTTAGAAATTTGATGTCAAAACATGTTAAGACATGCACATATTTAGGTCATTTCTTTTGATGCCATGATATACTTTTAGCATTTGATTACTCAGAGGAAGCTTGCATATATATGTCCCGAAATAGCTTACACTTTGCATTTGCTGGTTCTACTCATAAATTTGGGTGCAAAACATTCTAAAATTTAAAGCTGAGGTTGAGCATGTCAATAGTAAGTCTCCCCTCTGTGATGCATGTATGAATAGAATCCCAGAAGAGAGACTTACTATTGACATGCTCAACCTTAGCACATTGCTTGCACTTCAGAGCATATGGCTTGCTAGGTTAATTGTAGGTTTACCTTCCAATTTTTGTATGTCTTGGATTCATAATTATCTTTGTTTGTTTTTAAATGATTACTCTCCATGCCAAAGGAGTTTGATTAGGAAAAAATTTTCTTAATACATGATTAGTTTTTCATCTTTGTATCTACTTGTTTTACGAAAAGGGCCATGATTTCTACCCACGGTAATTTTGTATGGTTTGACATCTTTATATTTTCTGCTCAAAAGCTCAATCCAAAGATGCACGTACTTATCTATATATGGATTCTAATATACGCATTTTACAATGTCCTTAACCAATAAATCAAGCTTTTATTTCTTTTGAACTCCATGTTGTTCATATTTTATAAAGTGAAATAGAAGTTTGGTTTTAGATGACTTATAAAAGGATTGTTGGGATAGATCCCAAATTTATTCCTTCTTGTTTTTTTATTATCATTATCATTATTATAATTTTGTGTATGAGTGTATTTTTGGCTGTGACTTTATTCGAAATTTTAACTTCACTTAAGTTTAAGTTTTGAAGTTCATATTGACTTCTAGTCCCTCATTAACATGGACAAATTAAAACTTTTCCAAAATGTTTTATATTTTAACATTTTTTTCTTTGAATCGTAGTGAGAGCGAGTTCCCCATGCCTCACCAAAAGAGTGCTCCTCATTGTAAAGCTTATTTGTTTCTTTAGTTTTCAGTAATGTTTTCTGTCATTACTCTTTTGGATGACATGTAACTGTAATTGTTCAATTTTGCATCTTTTGATATATAAAACTATAATGGATATTTTTTTTTTTTTTTTTTTTAATATGTAACTAATCTTGAGGCCTTAGGTAATAACCAAATTTTCATTGTTGGAGATATCTCTAGGTGTTGT